AAAAACCAAAAAAAAAAAAAAAAAAAGAGAATGTGTTTTATCGTTCAGACCCAGCCCACAGTTTGGGGGGAAGTACAGATAAGGAGTTATGATTTTATTCCCTGCTGTAATACTAGGGTTGGATCTTCGAGCCTCTGCATATTGGGCAAACATTCTGTTCCCGAATTTTTCTCTTTGGCCCAGGAATCAGGACCTTGCATAGCTTCTGGGAAAATGGGGCCTGGTTGGTTTTGTGGAAAAGCCCTGTAATTCAGTCTTTGACTCTGATTTCAGGCACTAACAATGGACACTCAGAAAGACGTTCAGCCCCCAAAGCAGCAGCCGATGATATATATTTGTGGAGGTAAGATTAACATTTAAGTAAGAACATTTTACTTAAACTTTCCTTACATGAGTACTAATCTTTAAAGTTACAAGTGGAGCATTTTAGCCGGGCAGTGGTGATGCACGCCTTTAACCCCAGCACTCGGGGGGCAGAGACAAGCGGATCATTGTGAGTCCCAGTGGAGCACGTTAGCAGTCATTAATTTAAAAATACCTCATTAGGATTCGTCTGTTCTTTTGTTTTGTTTTGTTTTGGTTTTCGAGACAGGGTTTCTCTGTGTAGCTTTGTGCCTTTCCTGGAACTCACTTGGTAGCCCAGGCTGGCCTCCCGAGTGCTGGGATTAAAGGCGCCCCCCCCCCCCCCCCCGCCGGTCTTTTCATCAGGATCAGGTGCACTACCGACAGCTCTTTTTTTTCCCTCCGTGGTCTGTTTAGTAATAAACAGGCACTTGGCTGCCTTGGGTGCTCTGGCTCGCTCCTGAAGAAATCCCTGGTTATATTCGCTTCCCTGTAGTGTTTCTCTTTCAGGCACTGAATAAACATGTTTTATTTCCTAGAGTGTCACACCGAAAATGAAATAAAGTCCAGGGATCCAATCAGATGCAGAGAATGTGGATACAGAATAATGTACAAGAAGAGGACTAAAAGATGTATCCTTTTGACTATTCTTTCTAAATGTAAGGGGGAAAATAATATTTGGGTTGATAAAAACTAAGTTCTGATAAAAGTAGTAATAACTTTTGGATTATTTATTTTTAAGCAGATTGAACATGGATTTATTAAGGAAGAGTGAGAAAGAACTGAGAATGTAGGAGGCTCCAAAGGAGGTATATCTAGATTAATTATGGTAATAGGATTTGTTTTTCCCTAAACTTGGGGTAGAGGCAGGCAGAGCTTTTTGAGTTCCATGCAAGCCAGAGCTACTTACTGAGACCCAGTCTCATTGTAGATTTTTTTTTTTTAATTTTTAAAGTAAACATGATTAGCACTTTCGTGTGTCATTCATTATGGGCTCTAAGTAATTAAAAAACTAGTTGATTTGGGTTTACATAAATATTTTTATTTTTTCAGGAATTCTTTGTTTTTAGAAGTAGTCATTCTTGATTGTTATGTTTGGATAATCTGAAGTATGCAAGAAGAAATTAGTGGAGACTAGTGAGCCCTACAAATAGTCCAAATACAGAAAGCAAATTGTTTCACGGTAACTGACACGAACTCTTAAACGTCACCATCAAGTGTTTCAGTGTTTTTGAATGATTTTTATTACCTTTTAAATTTTATATTATTTTGTATCATGGAAATGAACTAATGAAATGGAAGTTGTGTACTTTATTCTTTAGATAATGTCTGATGGCCATAGTGAAGTTCACTTTTGTTCATCTTATATTAAATAGCAAGCTTGGTGCAGAGGTGGTTACTTGGAAGCCTTAGTATTACACAGTTTTTTGTTTTGTTTTTTTTTTTCCCCGAGACAGGGTTTCTCTGTGTAGCTTTGTGCCTTTCCTGGAATTCACTCTGTAGACCAGGCTGGCCTCGAACTCACAGAGATCCTCCTGGGTCTGCCTCCTGAGTGCTGGGATTAAAGGCGTACCCCGCAACCACCACCCGGCCAGTATTACACAATTTTAATTTCTGTTCAGAATCCTTAACTCGGTTCCACAGTGGTGGTCTTCGATGCTCGATGAAGAGTGGGGATTCGGAGTGTCTTCATTCATGCATCTGCCCCACTGGTATTTCTCGTTCAGCTTTTGACTTCGCTTACTTATGACTACAACTGTAAACCTATGGTTTCATTTTAGAAATGGGATTGTATTTTGATACTTTGTATAAAGGAATTTTTGGTTTAGCATACGGCTTTTAATTTATTGTGCTCTTAATCTCTCACGCAACGAAGATGAAAATTGTTTCCCCAAACCACACTTTTATTCGGTCTTGTTAAAAAGTAGCGTTTCAGGCCATCAAGCTGGTGCTCGCCACCTCGCCAGGTGACCTGAGTCCAGGCCCTGGAACCACATGGTGGGAAGGGAACTAACTTCTGGAGCTTGTCTGTCCTCTGACCTCCGTGTACGCACCAAGACTTGAGCAGACACAGAGAAAAGAAAGAAAGAAATAAAATTTAAATAAATTTATCTAAATAAATAAATTTAAAAATTCTAAGTGCTCTTTTCAAGAACCCTTTTTGAATGGTCTGAAGAAATAAGTTCTTTGGAAACCATAATACTTTGTTTACAACTATAAACTGTTCAGAATACCATTGTACTTGCTGTCTGTAAAATTGTAAAAAGTCAAAAGTAATATAAAAAATTAAAGCAAACAGAATAAAAGGGACGGCTGGGCCTGAGGGCTGCCTCAGGAGTTAAGACACTTGCTGTGCTTTCAGAGCCCCTGATTCTGTTCTCAGCACCCCCATTGAGTATCTCCCAACAGCCCGTTACTCCGGTCCAGGGGATCTGACACTGCCTTCTGGGTGTCTCATACATGCATGCACACACTTTGAAATAATGTTTTAAAAAGATGACTACGGGTGTAATAACAAATGTTTCCTTACATTTACAGGTACACATAGCCCTCAGACCACAAAATGAATTCTGGGAGCTGGGGGTTGTGGAGTCTGTCTGTAATCCCAGTGCTTGGGAGGTGGAGGCAGGTTCATTTAGAAGCTCAAGGTCATCTTTGACTACACAGCTAGTGTGAGGCCAAGTGACTGCCAGAGCAGAGTGCTCCACCAGAGTTCTTTCTTTCTCCAGCCCTCAGTTTTCTTTTACTTATGTCTCACTAAGTTGGCCTTGCAATCCTCCTGCCTCAGTCTCCAGAGCTGGGAGTACAGACCTGCCCTCTGGAGACCTGCAGTAAACAGAGTGCCCAGAGCAGCCCCATGAGCAGCTGTGGGACCCCAGCGGGCTTTGCTTTACACCTTGGTTTACCGGTTGTAGTTCGTCCTCTTCTGAGGGCCTTACTTGCCCACGGTGTTTTTCAGATTGTTTTGACCTTTTTCAGTGCAGCATAGATTGTACTAGCCAGAAGAAAGCCTTACATGTAAAAAGAGAATTACAAAGCCCACAGAATGACAGCCATTCTCCAGATTGTTACAGAGTCTTTCAGCTGAAGTCCTTGGTGTGGAAGTTCAGGTGGTGGCTTGAGCCTCACTTTGTGGCAGGGACGAGGTGTGATGTCTTCAAACACCTGGAGCATTTGATGCTGTTTCCACAACTGGAGTCTTCATCTATAAACATGCATCGTTCTGAATCATTCATTCTTTATGCCCGCAGTGGGCGCTGCCAGCAGACTTGTCTATACTTAAGGAGTGTATCTTGATTTGATAAAGAGTATTATCAAATTCTGTTACCGGCTGGGCGCACACCGGCTGCTTCGTTCATCTATTTTAACGAGTCGGAAATGTAATTGAAATGGAAGTAAATTTCTCCACAAATGATCTCTAGTGTTTCATTCATCTGAGTTGCTTAAGCCTTAATCATATTTGTATCTCCAGCACACAGTGGGGTGCCTTGCTCGTCGCCAAGCTCTTAGGAAATGTGGGCTCCGTGAAGAGGGAAATTTGCCTTTCATGTATTCTTGTTAAAGGACAGTAGGTAAATAAGCGTAGGGTGCGGCGCCAAGTCTGGAATTATAATCAAGGTCTACAGTTACGGAGGAATAAACACCACTCAGCAGGAGTGCAGCATAGAAACGTTTTACCTCTGTAAAACACTGAAGCCAAAGGGAAGGAAGGCAAGTCTGGCCCTCAATTCTGGTCCTGGGGAGGGCAGACGTGGGCTGGGGCCGGCGAGGCCAATCAGCGGGTGGACCGCCTGGGTAGCCAGTGGCGGCGGAGGGCCCAGTCTCCGCCCAGCTGCGTCTCAGTAGGTCGCGGCGTCGCTAGCTGGGCGCAGGGTGAGAGCCAGGTGGGCACCCTCGGGGCGGGGACGAAGCGGGGGCCGCACCCGCACACCCGCACTGGACTGGAGCGTGCTGGACGGACTGCTAACTGCTTCGACCCGGGGGACCACAGCCCACGCCGAGGGAGGGACTCCCGACGCAGGCGCTTGCAGGTGGGTTGGAGAGCGAGCTGCTGGACGCCTCCTAGACCGTTTCCCGGCCTGTGGGTCCTGGAAACTGTTGCCATGGCAGGGGGATGCCAGTTCCCGTTTCTGGCAGCAGAGGGCGCCCGGCCACCTCGGTGGGAGAGTCGGGCTTTTCCCGTTACTAGGGTTACCACGAAACGCTGCAGATGGAGAAATAGAGGAAGGAAGTGGACATGGAGCAGGATGATGGAGAATAAATCAAATCCAGCCAAGATCAAGCTTTAGAGACTTAAGACTGCCAAGAAATGTGGAAAAATTCTCTAGAGAATACATAAACCACCATTTGGAAGCTGAGAATTAACTTGAGTAATATATATTGAGGCAAGGCCTCGTGGAGCTCAACTTGACTATGTTAGTAGCTGAGGATGATCTTGAACTCCTGGCTCTCCCAAGTGCTGGCACTATGCCAGGCCCAGCTAACATGCAGTAATCTTTTGTTGTTGGTTTTTTGTTGTCTTGTTTTTTGGTTTGTTTGTTTGTTTGTTTGTTTGTTTTGAGACACAGGGTTTCTCTGTGTAACAGTCCTGACTGTCCTGGAACTCGCTTTGTAGACCAGACTGGCCTCGAACTCACAGAGATCCGCACGCCTCTGCCTCCCGAGTGCTGGAGTGCTGGGATTGAAGGCCTGGCATACGGTAATCTTAGGAAAATGTATCCTATGGGGGGAAAAGCAGGATAACTCTCAAAAGATTCTCAGATTTTAGAATAGTGTTCAGAATGAAATTTTCTTGGTTAGGTAAGAGATGGCTCTATCATGTTTTTTCAATGTATTTTATTCCAATAAAAATTCCAATGATTATGGGATATTTCCACTCAAGATAATGTGCTTTAATCCTGTTAGATGATCAGTTCTCTCCCACAAAAGGTTTTCCAGCCCTTTTGAAATTTTCTCTCAAGAAAACATTCTGTTTTGCACACATCAATGAAAGTTCTTCATGCTTCGCTGGTTAAGAGCACTGTTGTGCTTCCAGAGGACCAGAGTTCAGTTCCCAACACCCACATCAGGTAGTGCATAACGGTCTGTAACTCTAGCACCAAGGGCTGGTGCTTTCTTTTGATCTCAGTGGCTCGAGTGTGTGCACGCGCGCGCGCACACACACACACACACGTAAAATTCTTCAAGTTTTCCCCCAATTCCTTTCAGATCTTCAGATTATCCTTGTGATGGAATGCATTCTTCGTTCTTAGCCTAGAGGTGAGTTATGAAAGCTACAGCCTAATTAATTCCTTGGCTGGCTCTTATTCCAAAGTTGAAGAACTGTTATCTGTATTCTATCCCTAACCAAAGCCAGCAGCAATATGGAAGAGAAGTCTACATGCCCTCCCTCTGTAAACCACACTCCCAGGGAGCAGTAATGCTGAAAAAAAAAATGCTTCTGTGAACTAGACCTCTGCTACTTGATCAACAGTAGGTTTAGAGACAGAGCCAAGCAGATCTCTGAGGTCGAGGCCAGACTGGTCTACAGAGCAAGATCCAGGACAGGCACCAAAACTACACAGAGAAACCCTGTCTCAAGAAAACAAAACCAAAACAAAACAAAACCAAAAAACAAAACAAAACAAAAAAACCGCAAACAAACCAAAACAAAAAACCCAGTAGGTTTTAGTGCAGTGGCTTTAAAAAGAGAGGAACTTTGACAGTGGTGCCCAGCACCCCTAAGAAATGTATTTCCCTTTGCAAACATGCATTTATATGTGTAGACGTGAAATAGAAAATTTTATAAAACTAATGTTACACGGTACATAGGTTTTCTTTTTATTATTTTTAAGTGGGGGGAGGACTAAAATGATTAAGTGAGGCCCCATGCCTTGCTATAGGCAAGTGCTGTCGCATTGAGTGGTATTCTAGATCGATCTCTCTCTCTCTCTCCCAACAGTTCACTAACTACTAGTAGAATTTTCTGGAGAATATCTAAATCTAAATAAATTACAACATTGTTTCATCCAAACGTGTGACTCCTTCAGAATTGATGGAGTCCAGCACACAATGTGATGTGTCTTCTCTCTTAGCTTCTGGTCAGTCTCTGTGGGAGGAACTGCATACAGACAGTCCAGCCAATAGCCGGGCAGCACAGCTGCATAAGGACAGCCAACAGGAGTATGAGGAGAGAGTTCCAGCCACTGCTGAACAAAGCTGGAATGATTCAGAACACACAAATGAGTTCGCCTTTTCCATCATTTTCATGTATAATATACCTCCAGTAGAAAAGCTAGCATTTTTTAATTGTCACAGGTTTAAGGATTCTACACAGAAAAAAAAAGTACTTAGCAGAACTTAAAGGATCTTGTGAATCTTGATTAATGTGCTTTTTATTGCATGCTGTGACTGAACTATTGCTACAGAAATGTGTGATCCATGCTGTTTGTGCTGGTCAGTTGTTTTTCTGTTTGTTTGTTTTTGCCAACTTGACACAGCTGGGGTCATCTATGTAAGGATCGCAGCTCGGATGGAAAGGTGTCCTGGCAGCTGGAAGCCAAGGAACACCATAAAGTCACACCACACAGCAAACCTCAAAAACCAAGAGAAAGACACAGCAGCAAACTGAACAGGATACAAGGTTTATATAGAGTTTCTTGGGAAGGGGGTGGAACTTTTCATGGTGGAGCTTTCCAGGGTGGAGATTGGTGGGATTCCATGTCCAGAGATTGGGCTTTTTGCTCTGCAGGGTGGGGCCAGGGGTGAGCAGTTAGGGCAGTTAGAGTGTTCTGTGGGTGGAACCTGGCAGTTAAGGGTGGGGAGGGGGTAGCTGACCACTCCTGTGCAGGGTGGAGGCAGGGCACAGCAGTTAGGGAAGCTAGAGTATCTGTGGGTGGAACCTGGACCACTCGAGTGGTTTGAGGGGCTTACATTCCCCCTTTTGTTTATTATTAATAAACAGGTCACAGGAAAGGGGGCAATGTTATCATTAGACTAAATCAGGGTGTCGAGGTTCTTTGGGAAATCTTGATCTTCATCAGCAGGATGTAACCCGGTGCTGCGGGTCTCTGGCTCTGTAGCCAGGAGCTGGTAATCCTGTAATAGTAACTGGTTAAAAGTCTGGTTAGAAATCTCTTGGATCTGCTGTTGAAGAAATCTAGACAAGAAGTTTATAAGGCAGGGTGTAACTAGCAGGATTAGGAAAAGAAGAGGCATGAGAAGGGCAGCATCCAGTTTCTTATTGGACTATCAGTGACCCACTGGCCAGAGGCATCAAGATGTTTCTTATGGTTTGAAGGTCTGTCTGAAGTTGTCGGATCTTATCTTTTATAGGATTGCTAAGGGCAGCCTACATCTGGCCAACATCGATGGTGATCTCTAGTTTGATCATAGAGAAAGAAGGAATAGGGGACAGATATTTCAGAAGCCGATTTATGTATCACAGGGATAAGCATCTCCTTTTGGCAATCTGCTGGTGAGCAATCTCCAGACCCCACCGTACAAGTGGTCTGGTTGAACCATTAAGTATAGATTTAACAATGGCATAGAGGGGAAAGAAATCTGAAACAATTTCCATCATCCTAAGTCACTTTCTTATACCTTCAGAACTTTCATCTACATAACACTTTCTTATACCTTCAAAACTTACTTCAGCTTTCACATGCTCAGACAATGCTTTCTTAGACCCTCAGAACTGAAGTTTCCTCAGTGCTTTCTAAGTTTCCACATTGTCAGACCTTTATAACATCTGTACGTTCCTGTATGAGGACATGAATGTGCAGCTTTTTTTTAATGTGCAGCTTTAATACCTTATTAAACAAGCATTGTGTTTTTTTTAATTCTATCATAAACCCTGTTTTTATGATTCTTTGTTTTCAGGACAGGAATTATCGCACAAGAATAAACATGCATAGGTGATAAGCCCCAGTGAAGGAGAGATGGATAGGGGAGGTAGAGGGGACTGAATCAGCCTTTGACAATCTGATATAGAGTAATTCCTGACCTTATTATGACTGGCTGTTGACTAAAGGTGAGAGTCTCTTGAACGATAAACATCCCTATGTGAGAGCTACTCCAGATAGGTGTAGGTAAAAGAAATAGAGGAGAAAGCAAGTTTAGAGATAAGAGAATTTGGGATAATTTGTTTGTGCAGTGGCAGAAATTGCCATAGTTTAAAGTCAAGAATGCCAATTTTGGCCATCTGAACTGTACTAAGGCCAGAGAGAAGCTTTAATAAAATTGGAGTCCGTGGAGGAAGAGGGGAAGGGTTGCCAAGTGAACTCCGCTGCAGGGAGTTTCTGTGAACTCCAAGTGGGAGCGGAGAGGCAGGAAGGACAAGGTCGCAGAGGCCCAGATGGGCTTCGGGAAGCTGTGGGGCTTACTTAGCGGGCAGCTCCTAGGGGAGGAGGCCAGGAAACAGGGATGGTCCAATAGTTGCCCACATGGTAAGCCTTGGAGGGTGTAGCAGGTTCCAGGAGCCAGTGAG